AACTGTTTTCTCTTTTAAGTAAAGTAACATTTTTTACATTCAAAATTATGTTCGATTTTCTCACACTAAGCAATGAATGCGTTTGATATGTTCTTATGTAAAAGTTTCCTTTTGTGTTCATATAAACATTTATTTAATTTCCTGGAGTGTTCTCCGATGTATTCCTTGTGGCAATTATTTTATTTAATAACAAAAGTGAGGAAAACATAAGAAAAAGAAAAATAATGTCAATGAAATCAGCTACACTATATACCCAAAATTCATATGGAAGAAAAAGATTATTTAAATTTGAAATTCCCAGCGTCTCTCGTTCGTACGCATGCGTAGTCGCATCAATGCAAACATCAACATAGTTTGATTAAGTCCAACATGGCGACAACAATGCATATCTGGCAGATGATTATATTCTGTTGTTTTCGATAGAGCTGATTATATGTGGCATTATCTAATAGAAACATCTAAAGTTGAATAAGTGAGGTGTTATCCGATCGTGTTGATTATTTGAGATATTATCTGCCATGGTTTAGCCATTGCGAGATTGTCCAATCTATTTTGGAATGATTGATTTGCTTTTTACGACATTATTTAATGCCAAAAATATTTTAAATTGTGAGAATTTTAAAGGGAGATAATAAGGATTTACTGATTCAATTTTATTATTTAACCCAAACATTTTATCAAAGAAAAGAGTAATGAGCTAGTATGTGATATTTGTTTTCCCGTATTGCTGGACAATCTCCACGCAGATACAGAAGAGACGTAAATAAACAGAATTGTGGTCATACAGATGACTGCAAGAGAATACCAGGGACTGAAAATATAAGCAATGACAAAGAAAGTGGAAACACTGATACTAACCAGGAAGAGATTGTGGAAATTCCAACGGAATAATGAGGAAGGAGGGCTTGAAAAATCTGATGCTCACAGGACAGATTGAATGCAATAGTGACAGAGGAAACCAACACATAACATGCGACACTATTAAGAAAGCGCTGTTAAATTGTGAAAAAAGGCTTTAAAAAACAAACTGGAAAACAAAAAAAAAATATTTCTTTCAATAGACTGAAAGTATACCAATAACAAAACAAAAAAAAATGAAAGAAAAGATTCTTTTTTCTTTTCTTTCCCTACCCCTGAGTTGAGATGCCGACGATGGCTAGCGTAGAAGCCATCTTTTTTTTATCAACTTAATATTAAGTGATGGTATTTTCTTAAGTGCCCAATCAACCCTGCGCGGAAGAATAGATTATATTATAACGACCTCAAGTGCCGAATAAGGAACAAGATTAAGCGTCAGTGGTCCACTCGAAGTGGGTAATGTGAAGGCCACAAACGAAGGCTAACAGCAAGTCTTTAGCCAAAACTCGGTTAGTTGGTAAGACTTTGATTTTAAAACCGACAAGTTTCAAAAGGAAAACAAGAAATGAATTGTATTTATATTTCTTTTTCGTCTGCCTAAGACGCTATAATATGTATTAAAATTATTGACCAAAGAGCTGGTGAGAGGAAACGAGGGGGGACAAATCACAGATGCAAACGAACCCACAACTTACGCGAGAATAATTCCCCACTGATTAGGGATTATAATTGAATTCATCAGTTTCGGCTAGAGCACACCTAGCCTCTGGGAACAGGTTGAATCAGGAGACAAAGAGAGATTTTGGTTTGGTTTGGTTTGGTTTGTTTTACGGCATATCAACCTCAATGGGTTATTTAATGCCGATAAAATTTTTATTGCTGGTAATTTCTTTTTTCAAAAAATATATTGCTGGTAATATCTATTTTCTTTTTTCAAAAATATATCGCTGGCAATATTTTTTTTATAAAGTATAAAAATATATTTTTTTATATAGTATTAAAATATATTTTTACACTTTCATAATATTTTTACCCAAGTTTGCATGTTAACTATTTGCCCATAGCCGGGACCCTAACAGGTGCTACCACCCCGGTTCAGGGTGGACCTGGGAACGCCAGCAATTAAGAGGTGGTTCGATGCTCCCCAAAACCTCTTGAAGAGAGGCCTTGATGTTGGATGTAGTGTGCTTGGATAAATCGATAGCGAGACAGGGTTTAAGAGAAATAGCAAAAAGACCAAATTTATTAAGTGCTAAAAATAACAGGACATTGTGGAGAACCATGATCGCCTCCGTCCAAAAGTGAGGCATAGTACATAAACAAGTAGAAGACCAACTGCAGCGATGAGCATTCAGTTCACACCAAATCACACAGCCAGCTATTTTAAATCAACATCCATTCCTCAAATGACAACAACGCTGATATAATTCTGTCATTTGGAGACTTCCGATGCAGACTTTTCGTGGTCTTTGACTTTTTTTTCCACAAACTGAATGACTTGTAATTTGGCGTCGATGGAAAGAATTTTGGACGCTTAAAAACAGTTCTCTATTCAGACATTAGTGACAATAATTTCCGTTAAAATATCAGTCTAAAACAAACAGGTAAAAAGAAGTTTTTATGAAATAAAGATTAAATCGTCTGTTCAGATAATTCAACAAACTGTGACAGATGATAAAACAAATGCATAGCAATAAACTCTGTGACTATCAAACCAACTTCCACACTATCTTTATTTCTGAGATGAGGTATTTTAACTATTTACATTGGTTGGGCTGTTGTCCTCATCTTTATTGACATATACACATACAATATCTGTCTCTGTTTCTGAGATGAGATCTTGTAACTATTTACACTATTTACATTGTTCGGACTGTTGTCCTCATCTTTGTTGCCATATTCACCTTTAACATCTGTCTTTATTTCTGAAATGAAGTATTGTAACTATTTACACTATTTACATTGTTCGGACTGTTGTCCTCATCTTTATTGCCATATTCACCATCAACATCTGTCTCTATTTCTGAGATGAGGTATTGTAACTATTTACACTATTTACATTGTTCGGACTGTTGTCCTCATCTTTTTTGCCATATTCACCTTTAACATCTGTCTCTATTTCTGAGATGAAGTATTGTAACTATTTACACTATTTACATTGTTCGGACTGTTGTCCTCATCTTTATTGCCATATTCACCTTCAACATCTGTCTCTATTTCTGAGATGAGGTATTGTAACTATTTACACTATTTACATTGTTCGGACTGTTGTCCTCATCTTTATTACTCCGACTTTCTTCGTGGCATTTAAAAGTGAAATCGTTATTTAGTCCACGAGGGTAGATTGTTCTAACACAACGCCACATGCTTTTGGATATCACCCAAAGACACTTTCTAAAAATCTTATTAGCGAAAAATGTACGCTCTCCGGCAGGATTATCGCAAGTTCGAATCCTGCTGGAGAGCGCATTTTTTTCTAACATTTCTCAAATATTCAGGCCGGTAGAGGAAAATAACTAAATGTAATGTTTAATAAATAATGCTCAAATACAAATATCGACTAAAAAGTCTTTTAAGTAATAAAAGTCTGAGTGATTAATAAATAATCAATTATCCTGTACCTTCACACACACACACACACACATATATATATTATTTTTTCAACATGTTTTTGTTACAATCTCTTATAATAAATATAATAATTATATATTGCTCTACTTGTTACTGGAGCACTTTATTAAAATAAATCCTACGAACAGTGTAATTTTTTACTCCATCAGTTCTTTCTCTCATTTTTATATTATTATATATATATATATATATATATATATATATATATATATATATATATATATATATATATATTGTTAAATATAACAGACAACGAGTATGATGATGATCATGAGCCGTTCTAAACTTCATAAAACGGCTCATGATAAAACATAATAGTTATTCGTTGTCTGTTATATTTAATAATATATGTTTCAGTAATGGTCTGCTGCCCAATACACTAAAGAATATATATATATATATATATATATATATATATATATATATATATATCGATCACACTTTTGGAAGAACCGAATACTTAGAATGATAAATGTCCACAGCATGTTCCAAGGTTTCCAAACGGACCTCTTCGGGTTTTGAATTCAGAGCTTTCCTTCTCCTCGGCTTTTTGACACCCAATCCTCTAGGAATCAGTCTGTCATTCTATTTACCCATATCATGGGGAGGATAAGAGCTGGAATCACTCCTTAGACAAGTTTATTAGCACATAAGTTCGTATCACATATTCGACTGGAATTCGAACTCGGCTCAGCGATTCCTCAATCCGATCCACTATCCATTATTCCTGCCAGCCTGCATCTATCTATCTATCTATCTATCTATCTATCTATCTATCTATATATCTCAGTCTGCTCATATCTAGCTCAACCTGTTCATATCTATCTATCTATCTATCTATCTATCTATCTATCTATCTATCTATCTATCTATCTAATGTGCGCTTGTATGTAGAACAATTTTGTGACGCGTAAGAAATGTGGTAGGAAATGGAATCGATTTTTTTTCATGCAGGCATAATCGTGACTGGATTGTAACAAAAATGCCATTTTGAATTTGTGTTATTGATATCGAGTGATATCGAGTGACAAAAATACGTATAGAAAGAAAAAATCAAGAAGAAAAATCAATCAGTTTACAATTATATTGTCGCTTTGTTATTTTTTTTTTTTTTTCTTTGTTTTTTTCTTTAATTATTTACGGCGGACTCGTGCCAGAATTTGTCAGTTTTCTCTATAATTGCACTTTGTTTTGGAAGCGAATATTTAGTTTTTAAAAAAAAGTAAAACATATCAACGATGATATAATTCGAGATTACTTTGAAACCCACAAGTAACACAGTTTGGTTATCTTTCTTTCTAAAAGTTAAGGCTTTCAGCAAACATTATCCGTTTTCTTATAAGGAAACATTTTTCATTCATTGACCGAGGGGTCATTGATGTCGTTTAAAATTTGGAAAATCTTTCTGTTTTGGAGAATTTGAGATATTAGTAAAAAATGCCTCTGTCTTAATCTATCCTATGTTCAATTTCCTTTTCTCTTATACTAAATTAATTCTGTTTTGAAAAGGTTTATATTTGTCCTATTTCTTGGGATAGATAGATAGATAGATAGATAGATAGATAGATAGATAGATAGATAGATAGATAGATAGATAGATATGAACAGGGTGAACTAGATATGAGCAGACAGAGATAGATAGATAGATAGATAGAAACCAGGTTTAGTTCTTTAATATTAGATGCCATTGTAGAGAGATAGATAGATAGATAGATAGGAACAGGGTGAGCTACATATAAGAAGACTGAGATAGATAGATAGATAGATAGATAGATATGAACAGGGTGAACTAGATATGAGCAGACAGAGATAGATAGATAGACAGCGGATAGATAGATAGATAGATAGATAGATAGATAGATAGATAGATAGATAGAAACCATGTTTAGTTCTTTAATATTAGATGCAATTGTATATAGATAGATAGATAGATAGATAGATTTGAAAAGGGTGAGCTAGATATGCACAGGCTGAGATAGATAGATTGATAGCTAACTAGATAGATAGATGTGTGCATGTGTCAAAAATCAAATGTAGAGCAAATAAAATGTGCATAACGTATTCAAATGATTTTCCAAGTCCAGTAGTTGTTATTGCTCTTTCCAATACTGAAGGTGTTTTTTTTTGTTTTTTTTTTCTAATCTTTCGTTATAAGTAATATGAAATATCAACATCTTAATTCTGGCATTATTTTCTTTTCAAGTTAAAAATTATCCATTTTACTTGTTACTGCTGTTGAACGTCCTCAAGTTTCTTATATCTGGCACATTATTTTGCTTTGCGAAACTATTTACTCAATCTTCTTCAAGATACACAACCTTCACTTGCATAAAGCAAATTTTAACCAAGATATTGTTAAATATAACAGACAACGAATGTCTATTATGTATGATCATGAGCCGTTCTAAACTTCATATAACGGCTCATGATCAAACATAATAGATATTCGTTGTCTGTTATATTTAATAATATATGTTTGAATAATGATCTCCTGCCCCAATACACTAAAGGCACATACATCATAAAGACACACATATATATATGTGTGTGTGTCTTTAGTGTAATGCTAGAGCCCTCCATATATATATATATATATATATATATATATATATATATATATATATATATATAAATAGATATATAGATATATGATCTGGTGCCCCAATACACTAAAGATACCCCTCTCCACATATATATATATATATATATATATATATATATATATATATATATACGCGTTCTGAAATATCTAATCTGTCAGCTGTATACAACCACCCCCCACTCACTGCATGCTAGTAGCTCTCACGCCTTGTTGAGGTGAAATGCTAAAAAATACTCTACTAAATACTAAAATAATAGATTCACTATAGGTCAGTACATCTATTCAAAACTAGCAGCATGGCCCGGCTTTGCCCGTGCTTGATTAAAAAACAGTACGACTCATACAGCAATCGCTATCACTTGACTTAAAATATTTTTGCCCTTCCTTGCCTTTAAAGGATTGCCCTTTGCCGTGCTGATGTTGCTACATGCCTTACTTCTTGCCTATCTCACACTGCGAATTTTTTCTAAGCTCTATACTAAACATGAAATCTGTTACGAAAAAAGAACTACACAAAATGAACACAAAACGATCAGCTTTAAAAATGGACTCGTAACTGGAAAAACCGAATGAAAAAAGAATGTTAACAACAAATACTTTTTCACACCTAACCCAGTTCTGCGGAATCAGAATCAACGTTGAGTTTAAGCAAGCGAATGAGCCAATTGGAGTAAAGTGCCATGCAGATTTAAATTTTTCCCACTTGTGACGAATGCACCTATCGATTTTTTTTTTTGCATGCTAGCATGCTAATTAACATTCCTGTCAGTCAGCTGTTGGCTCTCACGCTGGCCAATATAATCTTACTGCCTATTCGTGGCAGCCAGCTATAGGCTCTCACTCTGTCCAGTACAAATTGGCCGCAAACTACATGAAAACTGCCATAGAAGAAATGAAAAAAATCGATTATTTCCACTATCGATGGGAGTTGGGAAATGCCAAGTCGGTCGTGGCCTTCCCGCTAACTTGGAGCATGTGCATGTAAATTTTGGTGCAAATCTGTCGAAAATTGCGGCCGTGCATTCGTTACACACACTCACACACACCCCTGCCTTTTATTTTATATATATATATATATATATATATATATATATATATATATATATATATATATATATATATATACTACACACACATATATATGTGTGTGCTTGTGTGTGCTTGTGTGCGGGCGGTTGTATACAGCTGACCGACTAGATATTTCAGAACGTTGTTTGGCTCCATGCAAGTCATCAATATGAAAATCTCGATCTGATGTGGCTAGTTAAGAACATGACTCGAGTTTTCAAGTTAATGTTTTGCTTTTTCAGAAATTGCGCTGTTGATAGAGACTACCTCCAGCACCTCTTATTCAATATTCAGTTTCCTTTTCTTCTATCCTATACTTGTTATAAATTATCCAAACGCCATGGTATTTGATGTATTTATTATTTACGAAATCCATATCCTAAACTTTTATGGTGGACTAGATAACTCGTAACCCGCTGGGTCACTGGAGTTTCAGGTTATAAAAAACTGAAGTTGATTTCAACATTAAAAAACTTGTCTGTTTGAAGAATGCTGAAATAAAAATAAAACATAAACAACATAAAAATAATTAACTTGCGTTTTTTTAAATCATATTCACTTAAAATATTTTCTAAAATGAGATTAACTTAAAAATATTTTTAATAATTCAAAAAATATTAACTTGAAATATTTTTTAAATATGATAAAAAATATTTCTTACATATTTAAAATATTGTTTGTCTAAAAAAAAGATATATTTAAAGAAATATTATAATTGTTTGAAGAAAGTTAAAACAGAAATACTTAATGCATGAAAATTCGTATTTTTAAATCTTATTCACTTAAAATATTTTTTTTAAATTAGATAACTTTAAAATATTTTTTTTAAATCTTTAAAATATTGTTTGTTTAAAAAAGCTGAAATAAATAATTACTCTACAAACAACTGGACGAAACGGCAAAGCGGGATCTCTTTGTGTCTGTCTTTGATTTAAAAATATTTTATTCAAAAAATTCTCTTAAAATAAAAAAAAATACTTACTGTATAAACAACTCGCAATCACACGCATTCAGATACTTTTAGTGTTATATATATATAAGCTATGTGCCATAATTGATTTAATTCAAATTCCATATCGTTTCTGTTTTGAAAAGTTTTATATTAGGTCCTACTTCTTGGAATAGATAGATAGATAGATAGATAGATAGATAGATAGATAGATGCGAACACACTGAGACAGACAGACAGGCAGATAGATAGATAGATAGATAGATAGATAGATAGATAGATAGATAGATACGAACAGACTGAGATAGATAGATAGATAGATAGATAGATAGATAGATAGATATGTAATAAAACGGTCTTTTAATAGAACCCTCATATATAAAGGAACTGTCGAGTTAGTCGTCTAACGCTATTTGACCAGAGCTCCATATGGACATATTTAAACCAAAATGGATTTTTATCAACCACAATACAAATCAAGAACAGGAATATTGAGGGTAACTCCAACTGCAAAATGTGATCGAATTCCTCCTTATATAATAATAAAAAAAAACAAACAAACACGAAAGCAACCCTAAATAACATCGATTATAAAAACGGTTAAAATATACCGGTTATATTTGCAAGCTATTTACTTTAATATTTTTAATTACTCGCTGATTTACTTTGCAACTTTTGCCTTCCTATCAATTTCCGTTGAAATCTGAGAGAAGACGTCAATAGTTTGTCGGAGTTAGCTCCTTCTTACTTCCCAAATTCTTCACTAGGGGTCATTCATCCAATAGTATAAATACTGGGAAATTTCTTACCTCTTTCTCTGCTTTCTTCATTTTAGCGAACACCGCTACTATGTGAGCTCTCACAAAAGACAACGTTTCCCATTTCTGGGAAGACGCTATGAACATTACAAACATACACGTACGAACTAACATTCACCAAAATACGAACATTCACCAAAGAACAAACACAGATGTTCACACACAAACACAATGTTAACTGTCTATGTTCATTGTAAAATTGTTTTGTTTAATACATACATACATACATATATATATATATATATATATATATATATATATATATATATATATATATATATATATCGGTCTTGTTTGTTTGTCTTTATCTTTAGTTGGACTTAAATTGAGTCCGTCAATTTTTTTTTGTAGTTGGACCTTTTAATATTGTACCAGGAGTTACACACGTGTTTCTAATACAACAAAATGTAAATACACACACGGTCCTCTACAAGTTAGAGCATGTTGGTCTATTAATATGTGACGTTATACGACTATTATCAGTTATTTTGATTTGTGACTAATTGTGCGTTTCAGCTGTACCAACCATTTATACAAACAATTTAATCTCCTTCAGCCTGACTCTCTTGACTTCTCTATATTCTTTGAGTTCCCAATTGAAGCCCTTACAAAAGACGAAACAGAAGCGATCGTCAAAGCCATGTTTATGCGATATATTACGTTTTAGGACGTATGCCTTTAAATCATAAAAAAAATATTTACGGATGCAAAACCGTAATGATGAAATCTGTCTGTCAAATTGAATTTCAAATCATTCAATAATTTCAATACGTTTCTTTTCTTTCTCTCTTTTTTCATCAGTCTAAATTTGTTACATAAAGATACACGTAATTGTTCAACAACCCGCTTAATCACCATGACAACATATACTTTATATGAGCTGATTCATTTATTAAATGCCTCAGTGGAAAATCCGGATGATTTCTCTTCAGACATCGGAGTCAATAAAATCAGAAATGGTTTGAAATTGATTGAATCAACCTAGAATTGACGTCTCTGCGCAATTCTGAGCCGAAAATTAAACGCAGGGTTCCTGCTTTGAGTGATATTGCAGCCTCACTGATTAAAATACACTCCCCAACCCGTTAATATGTCTAACACAGAGGTTGATATAATAGAAGGCATACAAAGCACGCTACAAATCAATCTCATAGGCTTGCCTAAACACAAATACGTCAATCTTTAATAGATTCGTTCATACCGTCAAAATGTATTCCGCAAAAAAACTATAGGCATAAATGAACAAATACTCTCCTCATTGCTCCCAGAAAACTGACTATACATTTCCAACCAAGTTTCAATCCTTTCCTATAATAAATATTTTTTTGTATTAAAAATATAAGGTGTTTTTTTTATTAAAATACATTTACAATGTTCGGTTATATAACAATAATGTAAACGAAATGTACATTGTTAAATAATTTGCAATATATTTCCGTCGTATATTAAGGAATTGCGCATTCCTGTAATAAATGTTTATCGATTTTACATATGATAACTATATTTCTTATGAACACCTTTTTGTTTACTGACAATCCCTTCCTGATGTTAATCCATATCAATAATCAAGTGCATTTAAGAGCCATACTCTAACACTATAAGTTAAACAATCCCTGACCATTCAAATATTTTATATCATAGACCTCCTATCAGACAATACATGACATTCTAAAAACCGAAGTAGAAGGCAATAGACAAATTGGACAGAAAAAAAGCGGCAGGGCCAAACGGAATACTAACAGAGATGCTGATAGCCTTAGATGATTTTGGCATAGAAAAGATTACGGAAATAATACATGGAATCAACAAAAGCAGCGATATACCGTAGATCTATTTTCATAGCACTACCAAAGAAACCAGGCAGAAACGAATGTGAATTCCACTGAATAATCAGCCTAACCAGATCGACATAAAAAAATTAATCATCTGTATTCTGATGAATAGAGCGAACAGCAGAATCAATACAAGAACAATGCAGGTTCGTTAAGGACACCGGAACAAGGAAGGTGATATTCATGCTCAAAATGTTATCAAAAGGGGCAATACAAATGCAGAAGGACGTGCAAAAGCGTTCGACAAAGTACACCACAACGATCTGTTAGAGCGACTCAGCAACTTTGACATATTCGGGAAAGACATTAGAATCATCAAAAACATCTTTTGGCAACTTACTGCTTGCATAAAGATAAAAATATGAGTTCAACAGATGTAGAATAATAGAAAGGGGCGTAAGGCAAGGGTGTGTCTTCTCACCAGACCTATTCAACCTAGACAGCGAAGCAATTCTGAGGGAACTGGAAGTCATACCAAGATTCATCATTGACGGCCACAGTCTTAACAAAATAAGATACGCAGATGACACTGTGCTGATAGCAGACACGGAAAAAAACCTACAAAACCTCTTATAGAATGAGTTAAGCTTAAACTCCAAGAAGAAAGAATCTATGGCCATCAGCAAAAAGATGAGCCCTAAATACGTTTTACAGGTTGGGGACACTAAAATCAAGCAGGCGCAGAAATTTAAATATCTGGGAAGTGTTCTGACAAAGGACGTTAATTGCGACATTGAGATCCGAAGACGTATTGGAATGGCAAAAGACGCATTCCAAAAGCGTGGCAGAGTATTACAAGACACGATGGTTTCTTTGGTAAGAAAAAAAAAAGAGTGCTGAACTGCTAAGTGATATCTGTTCTCCTTTACAGCAGCGAATGTTGGGCAGTCTCCTGAAAGATGAAGAAGAGACACGAGGCAGCAGAGGTTTAGTTCTACAGAAGGATGCTTAGGATACGATGGACAGAACATGTAGGCAACGATGAGATTTTGGAGCAGATGCAAACAAAATGGAAAGCCATATTAACACCAGGAAGAAGCAGATGAAATTTCTGGAACACATAACGAGAAAGGAAGACTTCGAAAAATTGATACTCAAAAGGTGGATAGAGGGACAAGGGAAAGCTTAAGTAATTGAATGGAAGAACAGAGTCTGGAAGAAATAACAAAAAAGTCCAAACGAAATGGAGAGCCATGATCGCCTACGTCCTGAAGGGAAGCGGCACAAAAAAACGAAGAAACTATGTAAAAGTAAATGTGGTATCTGTCTTATTTTTCAACTTAATTATCTGAAGATTGCACTGAAGCATGAAACAGTCTCTCGCCGCTATATATATATATATATATATATATATATATATATATATATATATATATATATATTATTATTATTATTATTATTATTATTATTAATAGAAATCATATAAGTATAAGAAACTATACTGTTCGAAAAACCTTCGGTGTTTTGATTTGCAAATAAACAAACCAATACCAAAGGGAAAAAAAGGTATAAAATAGAAAGAACCAAGAACATGTACGTTAGCCGAAATAATCGTCCAGCATACAAGTTCAAAGCCCAAAGAAAAAAAACCGATGCGAGTACCCAAAATAACTAAATAAAGTGCTCTATACAATGAATTGAGCAGACCTAGTTAAATCTAGAGTGCCAGACAAACCTACTGTTGTTTCACCTAAACGGATCGTCAGGGATCCGCTTAAGTGGAATCTTGCTAGGTTTGTCTGGCTCTCTAGGTTTAATATATATATATATATATATATATATATATATATATATATATATATATATATATATATATATATATTTGTATGTGTCTGGGTGTAATATGTATGTATATATAAATATACTTTTGAAGAAATATAGTTTTAAGGTGTGCTATATTTATGTGATAAAGTGATCAATATGAGAGATAGATCGTATGTAAATATAAATATAAGAGTAAACATTGAAATCAATACTCAGAGGCTACAGGCTGTTTCATGATAGGCGCAATTGTCAGGCAAAAGATTGCGCCTCGTATGAAGGAGCCTGTCGCCTCTGAGTGTTGACGTAAATGTTCACTTTCATATTTGTATTTATAAATACACTTATATACGTATGTAACTTCTATATATAGTATTTATATATTATATATGTACTTATTGCAAAGCGCTCAATATCCGTTATAGAGCTAACATACTTAGCTGTTTCGATGTGAGGTTTGGGACCTTGAGTTCCACGCTCTTGCGATCGTCAGACAACTCTAACGTTCGCAAAGGCGTGAAACCCAGGGTCACAAACTCACATCAATATAACTATATATATATATATATATATATATATATATATATATATATATATATATATATATATATATATATAAGTTTAACTTTTATTAAAGCTTCAACAGAGCATATGGGATATGGCCTGTTTAATTTTCTTTTGGTAATCAGATTTCACGTTAGTATAATATATTGCGTTCCGAATTCAAGTTTTTTTTTTTTTCAGTTAGGCATCCCTCAATTTCTTGGAGATTTTAAAAGTACCCGCGCTCTTTCCTTGAATTCGGAATTTTTTCTTCTTTTTCTCATGTCCCATTCCTGGATGAAGCTTTAATAAAAGTGGAACATGTTAGATTGTTCTTTCATATAATCAAAAACACACATTAAACACTAATTGAAATAATGCAGCTCATTAAAACATATAGATACATTTAATACAAACATACACAAAATTAAACTCACAATACAGTTAACACGAACACAGGCACAAGCAAAAACATATAGATATGCGCATATACACAACTACACAGACATATACGTGAGGTTAGATGTGGGGTGCATGCTTGTTTATATGCGTGCGAGGATGCGTACACATACGTGGGGGCGCGCATAGACACACCTGCAAAAGCATACACACACAAATAAGCAGAGACTAA